CTTCTTTTTTGTTTTTTTCCTATTTATATGGCTATAAAACCTTTTACTATTGGTTTTAATTCCCTTTGCAAGGTCCAACTCTACCTGACTTTTAGCCTTTCTCACTTTGTCCCTACATGCTCTAACCTCAATAAGGTAGCTTTTTTTTGCTGGTCCTTCTCATCTTCCACTCATTATATGCTTTCTGCTTTTTCTTAATCACCTCTCTGAGATGCTTGCTCATCCAGCTTGGTCTAAAACACCTGCCTATAAAATCTTGACATTCCTTTTGAAAATCTTGTACTTGGGCAGATTTACAAAACTTTATTAAATAGATTAAGCACTCTCTCAGCAATTTATTCAATTAATCCTTTTATTTTACCAGGCTCACCATAGCAAGAACAAAATATAATGATACAACATGTAATGAAATAAATGGCTTTGTATATATCCTGTTCATGCCAATCAGACATATTACAAATGCACAGCAATTAGATACTTTAACTGGTACCTTCTTGGCTGCCTGGTTGTTCCTGGGGCCAGGGCCAGTGCTACATGGCTGCCTGGCTGCTCCAGGGGCCAGAGTGGAGCCAGGGCCACCTGGCTGTCTCTGGGTGCTGGTGTTGCATGGGTGTCCAGCTGCTCCAGGGGTCAGAGTGGAGTTAGGTCCATGCAGCTGCTCTGGTGGCTGAGAGAACCTGCTTCCATACAGAAATAAAACCCATTCTGAAGCCACATCACTTCCTATCTCCAACCAACCCACACTGGAATCCATATAGACTATCATAAATCAACTATATATCATATTCAATAGGGACCCATTCTGAATGGCCTTTCCTGAATCCCATGTCTTCTGGCCTTCAAACAACCCCACTTCCCGCAGCCTCTCCAAGATCATTATCTAAAGTAAATGCCCCATAGACTTAGTAGACCAAAACACCCTAAGTCAGAGGCACCCGACCCTGCCAGAACAATAGCTAGAAAACTTGCTGACTTCTCTCCACTGCTACAATGATCAATATCCCCCACAATACACCTTTCAAGAGGAATGTGCAGCCACACTGATATTACATGTTTTGTACCTTATCCAGTGCACAAAATGCCCCATAGCAAATCTGTGAGTAAAACAAACAGTCACTATGCTCTCGAATGAACTCTACAGGAAATTGATAAAAGACAAAAACTGTGTTGTTTCAGGCCAATTCCACAAGCCAAATACACAGGGAAGGGTTGGAACTTAACTTCATTTACAAGTTTGATTCCTATCAGAGAGGAATGAACAGATATTGGCTGGCTTGTACACTACCTTCCACATCCTAATGACTTAACCCTATACACTCTTAATGGTGTGCTTTGGAAGTCTCCAGGAATAAACTTATTCCAGTAATAATCTAGATCTAACTCCAAAATGACAATATACATCTAATTGATTAAATTAGAATTAACACGCCTTTACTTAACAACCCAAAGAAACAGGGTTTAACAGACTAAAATTGAATAAAATCAATTAAAATACACAGACATAAATGAAACTTATCTAACTGGCATTTACATTGCCACCATTTATCCCACCCCAAAATGTGCACTCCTCTGGGTCTCAGAGTCCCAGATGCTTGCGTGGGCACACCTGAAGATCAGCAACTGGAGTGGAGACAGCACTGCGCAGGTTATGTGTGTGTCAGTTAGTCCAGGCAGAAACAACTGCAAAATCGCTCTGCCACTGGAGTTGGCCCCACAGCTCTGGTTCACTGGGCAGATCACTCTGGCCCTCTTTGGACCTAGTTAGTCTGTCTTCTGCACTCGGTTCCAGGCAGCATTTTTGCATACAGCCACAGTTACTCACATTACCTCCTATGCAGGTTTATGCAGGCCCTTCTCAGCCACAGGCACAGCCAAAGTCTCTCCCTTCCAGGAACAATCCCCAACAACCCCTGAAGCAGCCAGCTAGATCAGGGGTCTCCAAACTTTTCAGCCCGAGGGCCGCATTAACTATCAAACAGCAGTTCGGGGGCCGACTACACACTTGAGGTCCAAATAAAAATAGAAGTAGATCCAATAAAAGATATTACCTCACCCGACTTGTCTCTCAAATATCATGGGGCTGACATGGCTACATGCATACAGAGATCTTCTAAGCTTTTTTCTGCAGATATGGGACTTCTTTTTAAGGCTATGTCATATTTCTTCATTTCCCAAATAGTCAATTAAACTTTAAAAGATACAGTTCTCTTGCAGTTTTCTTTTTAAATATGTGAAATTCATGCACAGAACAAATATCAGTTTCCAGTCGCTAGCAATCAATTTTGAAAAGCACATTAAATAAATAACAACTGGGTGGAATGCAGTCCTGACTGGATTAATGAAATAAGTTTGTGAAAGTTTAAAAAAAAAAACCCAGACTTGATATATGTTGGTTCTATTTGTAATGCACCATAAGTACTTGGGAATCAGGTTGGTTGGAAAGAAGATTTATTTAAAAGTGCACTAACTTTCAGTTCAGTTAGTTTACTTAGGCTTCTGTGATTTAGCTGACTCTGGGCATACTCACAGGCTTAACACAAGTGTTAGTGTATTCAGTCTCTAGCTAATGCTAACTCAACTTATTTGCATAATCGTTGACAAACTAATAATGTGCTACCTAACAGCAAAGTACTGAAGCCTTCAAAATGGATGAAAAATGGATGCTGCAGATTTTTTTCCGCAAAGATATCGTCATATCTTCACATCAATACACGCAGATAAAGCAGGACACACAATCGAAACAGGTTTCTGGACTTTTAATACATACTTTTACTACTAGTGCCATGTGACAGTTCACCCCCCACCCCCATGCTGTATGAAATTGACTTATGAATACCAATATGCATAACTTAAAGATGCTTTCGATAAAATACCTCATGTAACCTATCAATTTTAATGTCTCAGTCTGCTGTATCTGTGTATCTTATTTTGGTGTATGTATTATTCTTATATGTAGATTTAGGAATATGGAGTTTGAATGGTTTATGATTTTAAATGTGCAAATGAAAGCCATCAGGGGTGTTTCCCTCAATGTCTGGGAGATCACCTGTCAACAGCCTCCTTTGTCCTTTAAGTCTTAGCAGCAATTGGTCTTAGGAAGTCATGTGACCACCCTCACAGGAGGGGTCTGATCAGGTAATTTTCCATGGAAGGCTGGAATGCAAAGACAAAGAATTCCCGCCAGAAAATAAAGCTATTTAAGATGCAACATTTTCCGGCCCTTAGTCTTTGGCTGGCATGTCATTCCCAAGAGAATGAACCAAAGACCCCAAGGAAAAAGAGCTTTCTTGGTTTGGAGGGTTAGCTGGAGTAAGAACAGTTTTAGAGTAAGTTTGTACTGAGCTTTTAGTGTTAGAATTAGCTATGCATTTTCTGTTATTTAAAATTTGTAATTCACTTTACTCTGACTGTTCTTACTTGCAACCCCTTAAATCCTACTGTTTGCACTTAAAAAAATCACTTTTATTTACTATCAAGCCCAGTGTAAATAATTGTTATCTGGGGGAGAAATCAATATGTACATCCTCCTTTCATTGTTGAAGGAGTCTTACCTGAATGATTTATTCCATTTGGGGTGTTG